ATAGGTATAGTTCACTGTTATAGAGCTGGAACTAACTATTAATTATATTATAAATAAATATAATTAATAATGATTTATCTTTATTTATTAATTGATAATTTTACTTTAAATGGCCATTAAAAGTTCAAGGTGATGGCTTGTTTTGTCCGACCGACAGTTCAATACTTTTTTATTTTGTTGTGTAAAACCAAAAAAAAGAGCACATATTCACGTTAAAGAATATTTATGTTTCCTGGAACAAAGACTTAAACAATAAATTAATAAATAAATGGTTATATTTTATATTTTTAGTCTATTAACCAATTAACTGATTAATTGATGATTAAGTGACGGCAGCCATTACCTGTAGAATGACTCACATCTACAATTAAAGAAATAGTTTGTCATTTTGGGAAACATACTTTCTTGCAACAGTTAGATGAGAAGATTGATACCACTCACATGTCTGCACACTAGGCTAAAGAGGAAACTACTGCCAGTAGACAGTTAGCTCAGCACAAAGACTAAAAACAGCTAGCCAGAAAGATTCCGGTACACAACCACCCATAAAACTACAATGTGTTATTTGCACACAACAAAGAACAAGTGTTCTTTTGTGGTCCAACTAGATGGATTTTGTTACCTTCCAACAAAAACAAGCAAACTATTCCCCCCGTTTCCAGTCTTTATGCACTGTTTAGCCAATTTGTTGCTAGCCGTAGTTCTATCTAATCTAACTCTCTGCAAGAAAGCAAACACATTTCCCAAAATGCAAAACTATTCCTTTAAGTAATTAAAACATTTGACATATGGGCCATTCATATCTAAGTTCAGTCAAGACTGTGTAAAATGTCCAATTTGGTTTAATGCCAGATTGTTTCATACAATTCCAACCTTCAAATTCAATCTACAAACATTATGTAAATGACCTGCAAATCTGCTTGGAGGTGCATGGTGAAGTGTGACACCAGGCTTGCCAGCCACTACGACATGTCAGGATGGATTAAGCATGATGGCGGTCAGATGAGTAGCACAGACTCTCATCTGAAAGAGGCCTAATGTGTGACTGGCACTGCATTAGCATCTATGGCCATCTTGCTAAAAAGGTTATGAGAAAAAGCTCAGCACTGTCAGATAAACCCTGGAAATCTTATGCAAGCTGCTGTTTGGCGCCTGCAGTTCTCAATAGTAGCAATTCTGTAATATTTTTTCAAATCCAGTTTGAGATTTGTGTACATTTATCAAAACCATGAAAAGTTGGGAAATACCTCACAGGGCACTGTAACCATAGTGGTAACGGTCAACAAAAGCTTTTGTGTTTTTAGCTTGGAAGTAAACATTTTTAATTATGTGTTTCATTTACAAGGGGGTATCGTTTGAAGGGTCGAAGAATTCAATGTGACCACAATGCACTGGGGTTAAAGAGAAAATAATACGATTGGTTTGGCTATGGAATCTCAAATTCTCCTCTGAACAATCAACTGGGAAAATGACAGTAACCACAATGGGATACAGTAGATGTCGGGGTCTGCTGGAAAATGCTGCTCTTCAGACACCCATAAATACAAAAATACACCCCCAGATCAGCTTCGCCTTCAATCCCAGCCTCTGCAAAGCCACAGGGAGGTCAAAGGAAACAGAGCAGCATTTTATAATGTAACCATCAACCTACAGTACACATTCAACTGCCTGGCAACTGCTCCAAAAAAGGGATTTGATTTGAGTGTATCAGCAAAAAAAAGGCAAAAACTGTCTCCCAAATCTTTATCTATCTTGAACTTTTTTAATGAAGCATCAAGGTGGTTGTTATAGAGTGCTGAAGTGTGCAGCTTATACAGCTGATTAGTATAAGCTCTTATAATCAACAATCACATTCAAACAAGTCACCAATCACGTTCAATCAGGACAACAAGGCAGTCTTTACAGCCTGACGCACTCTCACTTTCACTCTTGTGATCATCGCAGTTCTGCTATTGGTTATGTCGTTTACTCCCATAGTTCTTGGTAAACTTTACTGTTTGTGTTGATTGATTTCTTCCTCCATTACTCCAGCTTTTTCCTGGTACTCCTCCTATGTCTGATGGCATCCCCTGCCTTATACATTATGGGGATATCAAATCTGTGTCCATCTTCTGTGGAGTCCCAGGGGGATTTATTGCACCCTCCATTGAACCTCTCGCTCCAGCTGGAACTCATTGGGGAGCTCCCTCAATAGCTCAGCCTATTCTGACAAATAAAACCATTTTCTGCGATAAATGGCTCCGCCTGCTTTGACACAAGTGTCTCTGGTAGAAATCTTTTCAAAGCAACTCGTTGCAGGTAGTAGAAAATCACACTATTGGAAACCTAATCAAGGCCAATACAATGGGGCTTTGAGCCTGTCAAAATACACACATTGTACATAATTTGTTTCCTCCAGTGTTGCTAAACAAGGCATTTTGGTCGATATACACAAACCATGATGGACAGGCTTATGGATTTTATCTGGTATTTATCCAACATACTCATTTCATTCGGTGGTTTGCATGAGAAACATCAACAGTGTAATCTCTTTGTCATTCTATTCTCATACTATGGCATGACAAAAATCACAATCTGGTTAAAGAAGCAAACGATGAGCCAAAAGCTACCAGCTCCTGAGTGATTACAGATGTCCTTGCAGCAAAAAAAAAATCAGATCAGTCATGCTAGCGATGTGGCTGCAGCCAGACCACTGTGACTGAAATATCAATTTTTGCATGGTTTGCCATGAAATTTTGGACAGTCATTGATGGCCCCTTGAGAATGAATTATAGTCCCTTTATTATCCCCTGACCTTTTCTCTAGCACCATCATCAGATAATTTTTTTAAATGTGTTGAATACTTTGGTTTGACCAAATACCTGCAAAAGTAACAACATTCCCATCAGCCTGAGCTGTACTTTTTTTTTGTTTAGTACTAATTAGCAAATGTTAAGCATGCTAACATGGATGAGGATGGTAAACATTTTACCTGCTAAATCTGCATGTTAGCATTGTTATTGTGAAAACATGCTGAGATTAGCGTTTAGCTCCAAGCCCCTTTGTGGCAAGCAGCACTGCTAGCATTCATTCTTGTTTTCTTACTCACCAGGAATCCTGTGCTTTGACTTGATGTTCCCCTCACACTTCCGTTTGGCTCTGAACAACAGGCCTATCTGTTCTTCTTTTGTGAGCACATCATCTGCATGAACCTGCAGAAATAGAAAATGACATGGAGTTAATAAAGGTAAATATTGAAATGTAAATGGAAGAGATGTGCAAGATGCATGCTGTTAAAGCTCCATATAAAAATACATCATCAGGCAATATGGTAATTTTGTATCTGTCCAAAGAGGCTAAAAGAGAAATGTGTTTTTTAACTGAAACTGTTCAAACTTTGCTCTTTGAGTAAAAATAAGCATTGAATGCATCATTGGTGGGAAAGTTGGCAGTAAGCACATGAGATAATATTGATATGATTAAATGTTGGTATTTCAATGCTAAAAACATGACCCAAATACAATGTTGATTCAATGGCATTTTATAACACTTAAACAGAGACTGCTGTAAAAATTTTGGATCAAAGTAGATTTTTCAACCTCAACCACATATCAACCTTAACCATAACCATATATAAACCTTTCTGACCATAACTCAATATTGTATTTGCAATTTTTGCTATCTCCAGACATGATTTCATCTTCACAGCTGCTCCATAACCCTCTAACCACTGCTCTCTGCATCCCTGGCCATAGTGCTGCAGACAGCTCGTTCTAAATCCAGTTTCCTTCTGTGAAATAATCCTTAAACTATACTCTACTGGAATATCAGTAAAAGCAACAGGGTGGCCGGGATTTTAGACAGCCTGTTCTGTTTCGAGAAGGTCAGATTAAACTGTACTTTGACCGCAACAGTCCACCTGTCAAACTGTTCATGAACAAAGCTGTATATTTATTTCTGTCTTAACAGTCATTAAGCAAAAAAAGGTTGTAGAAGACTTTTCCTTGACTAAACAGTATTAGTTTCACTCGTTGTTTATAGTCCCACTTTGTATTCCTGTGGTTATATCCTCTACATGCTCACTAATCTGACATGACAAAGTTATAACATGGACAAAAAGGACATTTTATTCCCGGCATTTTCTTACACCTTATATATTCATAGCTTTGAACATTGTTTTTAAAAAGTGGCGTGGCACCTCAGGTGTGGTTTTCCAGTCAAGGAAACATTTTCCATTCTAATAGGTCACAGTGACTGGCCCGCTGTTTGCTCGTGGATCACTTTTGGGCAATGACAAATGTGACTGTATTGAAAATGACCACATTCATTTTTAACAGAGCGTGACAAGAAAAGTGGAAATGAAAACATAGACACTGAACCTCAGTGCTACAAGTAAAGCATAGATCAGTGCACAAATCACCAGGACTTTCTTTTTTGTCATAAAGGAGTTTTCATACTGCAGCAAAATGCAATATGTATCCACACAATAAAACAAACTAACGTGTATGGCATACAGTGTGCCTGGAGGTACGGCTAAAAAAACTCCCAGTCTGTTTTTTTGGTTCAGTGATGCAGAGCAAACAGTTCAAATTAAAGACAGACTTTTGCTCAGAGCAGCTGACTCCCTGGTTGTAGTTGTATTTGTCAGTTTCAGATGCAAATTACATGTCTGGATGTAAAGAAATCAAATTCTATCAAAACAAGAAGTGGGCTGGTTTATATAGTAATGGGAAACTCATTTGCCAAGAAGCAGTCTAGTCACAACTTGCAGAGAAAAAAAGAAATGAAAAGAGACAGAGAGAATGAAGAGGTTAGATGCATACACAGATACAATTACACTTTACAAAAACATATATTCCATCCATTCTGCAGTGTGGAGATATTCTTATTATGATATAATTATTGTGCTAAGTCCTGTCTGTAACAGCAATTTGATACCACTCATTTATCTATGTAGCCCTTGTAAATAAGATTTTAATCTGGCCAACATAATTCATTTCTTAAATAATGCATGTGTCAGCTGCTGCTCACTAGAGAAAGCTTTTTAAAAAGCGTATGATTGCAAAGTTGTGTTTATGTTTAGGCCTTTAACAAGTTAAATCCTACAAAATTGAAAATATTCCCCTTCCCCTGCTGGAGTTATATTACATATAATATGATGGGATTATAATTACTCAACTTGTAACTATTGCTGTCAAATAATAGTTATAAATAATAGTAGTAATAGTAGTAGAAAATTCAAGTATAAGTACCTTGAATCTGTACTCATAGTGCAGTACTTGATGTAGAATGCAGTTACTGTAGTAGAAGTACTGCTCACTAAACATGGCATTGCAGCAAAGCAAATCCCCTCTCTGGTGCCTGTTTATAATCTGTAATAAGCTGTTAAGGAACTGCTAAATCTGCACGGTGAGTTATTTGGGAACAAAGACGTGTATGTAATGTCTCAGATGCAAGTGCGTAATTTCATGAGCTTAAAATTAAACTGTAAAAATACCAAGCTGTCGTGAATTTGCTGCACAGAAAACCATAATACCTCAATCCATCAATATTTTCACTACTTTCAGCCCTGAAATAAGGATGTCCAGTCTGAGAGCTGAATAAGGTTACAGAATGAAGACGTTTATGGCTTTGCACAGCAAACAACCACAGATGGAACAACATTTGACCGCAGGCGAACAAGGATAGATACTACCTGTTTTCTGTACTAACTATGCCAATATAGAATATTCCACTAAATGCTCCTGAGACGTTCACACTATTTTCATCTCAATAACTGGCTGGTGTTACTTTAGGTGAATGCTCAACCAACAGGAAACCAGAAACAGGGAATATGGATAGTATCTGCTCTGAAAATACAAGTGTCATTATCATCACTGCGTAGTGTCGTATAGTATCAGTGTCTCAGCAGCTTTGTAATTGTGTATTTTCACAGTTTGGAACTGAATATATTAAGTTGTTGCAATAAGTTGCATTTTTTTGTCATCAGGGTCATTTTTACTTCAGTCAAATGCTTCAAAGTGGAATGAAATGTCAGCTAGTTTACTACACTTTGAAATCACAGGGTGCACATTAGCTACAGTTCACTTTTTTTCTACATACCTGGTAAGTAAAGCTGCTGTTCCAACACACTAAGAACAAATATCTTAACCTTTACAGCACAGTGTGAGCCCCGGTGAAACATTAAACTAAAATGAGGCATTGAGTTTCGGGGTTTATTTTCTTTCTCAAACGCAAGGGAAATTTCTCCTTCATCTGCAGACTCCAGCTCACAGGGATGTAGAAACATATCGTTTACCATTTTAAGAAGAGAATCCTGGGTAATAAGTGTGCCCCCTGATTATTTCTGAAAACTATTCCTCCTCCACTGGCCAGACTCCAAACCTCCAAAGTAAACACAACTCTCACAGGGAGAAACATGGACATTCTTATTTGCTGCATTTCATTCAAAAACACAGTAATCTTTTTGTCAAATGCTTTTGAGTGTATGCCAAAAATGAAATGAAAATTAGAAAAATACACACCGTATAAATATGTGTGTTTTCATCACTGGTCGCTAGAATACAAACTCCACTTGAATAAACCACAAGTTTCTATTTGTCTCCACAAACTGTGGCTTGATGACTTAAACTGCAGCTCTCTGCAAGGATATAAGACCAATATTGAGAGAACTGTATTTAGGCTGGTGTGTCAAGACAGTGTTGAACCACTACGATTAAATACTGAGACTATATAGTATGTCGTGAGACTGAAGGGACATTTACAGTTTAGTTTTAGTTTTCTAATTCCAGCATTTGGTTACTAAATAATTTTAGTAACATAATGCTACTTTATATTTATTTAAAAATGCTTAGCTTGTCATAAATGAACATCTTTAGTGTTCATTTGTTGATTTTTGAATTTTTTTGTAGAAAAAGGATAAATCAGATGAGTCATGTGAATAGACGCCATGCATACATTGAGTGGAGACACTGGGTTTCCGGTACATTACCAACAGTCTTGATTGTGGACAGCCGTGTGCTTTTTCTTTTTTTTTTCAAGAAAGTTGTGGTTGACCAAAGTCATTTCCTGAAATGCCCTACAGTGAGTAAGAGAGTCAAATGCTGGAGCTTGTGAGGTAGACTTTCATTAGAAAGCACAAAACAAAAAACTAGAGTGTCCAAAAAGTTTAAATGAACCGCAAAAGCACCACTGAGTTCAATGGAGTGCAATTATCTATAACAAGTCAACAATGGATCGCAAGTCAAGTATAACCCAATAATCTCATTAGTAGTATCTCAGGCCATGACAAAGTAGTCTAAATACAAAAAAGTACATGACTGAACAAAACTGAAAAAGTTGAGAAGAGAACAGTCCATAGAATTAAACCCATATTCAACCTGACAACCATGACAGTCATGTATTTCTGAACAAAAGACTGAATCTTCAAAGTGTTGTACCCTTTGCACTGACCTCTATACCAATCAAGTTAAAACAAAAATTCTCCACCAGGATTCACATGGATTTTCACATTTCTACATCTTGATATGGAACACATTAACTGTGGCATGTGTAGATATAAAAAGGCTTATTCTAAGGTAGTAAAAAACAATATGATTCTTATTGTGAGGTGAATATACATTAATGAAAATATAGTTATGAATATTATATTTCATTTCTGCCAATGGATCCTCCTAAATGTTACACACTGGACCTTTTAAAGAAAATATCCCCACCAGGATTAACACAGATTTACAACATATTTTCACAATTCAACACAGAGAAAATGCATCTTGATATCTAGTGTAACAGCAGATTGCTTACGTAGTAAGTATATTTCAAATATTAACAGAAAAGATAAAGATGAATAAATGAATGTAAAACTGGAGATTTTTTTCCATTACCATTACATGGCATAAATATCAAGACACAATCATTTAATCCAAATAACTGATTCACAACAATGCGGAAGTGGGTTATAAATTATAACTTATAATGTAAAATATATCTGAATGATTGACTGTTACTGAAGGTTCCATAAAATGTATGAGGTACCTATGAAGAATTAACAAATATGCAGCACAAAAGGGCTAAACTGTGGTCATTCGAAGGGAATATCCTTAAATACCTTGAATAAAGACATCTTAAAAGTGTTGCAATTTGCAAAGGAATGCAACTGAAACCTGCTTGACCGGTAAAAGACATGCAAATGACAAAACAGAAAACTAAGCTTCTCAAATAATAAATGGCCAAGATTGGTTTTGGTGTTTTATTCAGTTAAATGTGGCACGGCATTAATGGTGGCCCTACG